TTATAGAATGGCGTTTTCTTTGATTGCTTTGATGTCCGCACTGAAGAGCTCTATCTTGTTCTCGCAAAAGTTATTGCTATAGTACAATAAGAAATCACTATGATAATCAGACGTACGGCGAAAAGAAAAGTCGTGCGTCTTCTTCCAAAGTTTACGTAAAAGGTGGAAGTATTTTTATAGGCGCAAAAAGGCATGTCATGGTACACTTTGCTTTTCAGCCCCTTTGATATTTTAGGCGGATTTTAACGTCTCCCACTCCTGGGAGTGAAAGAGACAATAGTTGAGATCTATGGTGACGAATAACTTAAAGTTAGGTATGCTTCGTAAATTCGGCGCCAACAAGGCTAAGTGAGAAAAAAGGTGATAACTGCCATCGAGTTCAATACAATACATTAATATGAACAACACTTTATTAATAGACGTATCAAGTAGCCCAAGCCAGGCTCTTTGATCGTAGGGACCTCGCGAAGACAAGGTCAAGGGAAAGTAGGACGCCCGTGATCTAACGTTTTCATATCAGTTTTGGTCACAGGTCGTTTCGTCTACGAATCGTTCCGCTACCGTCCCGTTCGCGAGGTCTTTTGTTGCTCCGCATAAGTACCGAAACGAGCGCTGCGCATGTATTTACCTTGTTCATTCAGCCACTGATCAGACGAAAGCAGTTTGAGAACCGACCCAAAACGTGCGCGAAACGACTTTTAAGTCGTTAGCGAGCAGAGCGTTAGCGACGTAGACGACTTTACAGTTATCACAATCTCTGCACATTACTTTCTTGGAGCCTGCAACAGGCTAACCAACCAGGAACTACTCTAGAAAAAAAGCCTTTTATTTAGAAAAAAAACATTAAATGTCAAATTAATTACTATTAGAGTTTTGAAGGACCCTTATACTCTGAAGAGTTACTCCTTTTGGACCATAGTCAATGTTTTGTCTTCTCTTCGAGCATTTGATAAGAAACGAACCACAAAATTCTCTCAGGCCACGCCGGTAGTTTTCGACAAAGACGAAACAGATTATTGGATTTGCGGTGCTTGAAAGGTTGATCATCAGGTCAGGTAATGACCTTAGTACTCGGAATAACAAACATGATCTTTCCAGTACTTTTTCTGAAAACAAGACAATAATAATGACAGGGATAAAACATAAATAAAAGGCTGCCACGACGCAAATGGACATTTTTATGGCTTGCCGTTTTCTTTGAATGTTTCCATTCACAGCTGAAGTGGGGAGTGCTTTATTTTTCCTTCGTAGAGTTACCGCTATAGTACAGTATAAAATTGTTATGGAAATCAACGAAGCAAAGGAACAGGCGGCTCCGACATATTGAGAAATTGGATTTGTTTCCTCTGTGCAGTCAAGTGCACCATTTTTGTGCACGACGTCTGAATAAATACAAGATGCGGCGCCGCACAAAAGGGCAACGATCCACGAGGAAGCAATGGCCAAAACGCGAAATCTGGAGGAAATGAGATGGACTTTCATTGGAAAGACTACCGCTATAAACCGGTCCAATGCAATCCAAGTTAGGCTTTGTACAGAAACATAGATAGAGACATAAATAACAAATCTCTGGATCTTGCAGACAATTGATCCGGCCGGTTCAGCGACCGGCCATTGACCATACGCTGCTTTTGCCAGCTCAACTGGAATGAATGTTAACTGAAAGACAAAGTCAGATAATGCCATGTTGGCGATAAGCTGATTGATAGTCTTTCTTAAGTCTTTCCGCTTGTTCACCAAGGTGATTATAAGGGCGTTTCCAGTCAAGCCAACCAACAAGACCATACTGTAGACAACTATCAAACTTATTTTAAACACATATGGCTCATATAATGCTCCACAATCCAAATCCTTTTCGCTTGATGAGACGTTGCTCAAGTTGCTGGTCGACATAATATAAGTAGAAAAGAAACACTGATTTAATGTACGTCTCAAGCAGAAAGGAGAGTGAACTGACCCAAGAAGATGCCGCAAACTGAATTGACAGCGGAAGCAATTAAAACATCGAGACTGATGATTTCAAATGAATCCAAGCAACCGACTAAATACTTGAATTACTTGTCGTAACGGTAATGGATTTTCTTAACTTTTCGTTCTAGATTTCGAACGTTAATCGATTTTTATTAATCTCGTATTGTGTTGTCTCACCAGGGTGAGAGTCAGAAGTTTCAATAGACATCTGCAGGATTCCTGACATCTGTTCAAAATTTTTCAGATAATCAAACTATTAAATATGGGAACCATAAATAGTGTTTTCATGTAAAATATGATCTTAAGGGACCCACTTAAAAGGGGCGAACTTTGTTTGTTGAGAAACCACTTAAGAGCAGAGTCGCCGGAAGTAGCAATAAGAAACCACTTTGTTGGAATAAATTTGGATAAAGTTGGAATAAACGGTTGTGGCTAGTTTTAATCGAACAATTAGCAAAATTCAAACACAGGAGTAAACATTTCCGTATATGATGTCTTGTTCACAAATGGGGCGACAAAATACGGCCAGCCTTAAAAAGTGATACTATCGAAGCGACAGGATGGAATAAACGTGATAAATCGCTGGGAGGTGGTGAAATGGGGAGGAGGCTGGAAAAAGTTTTTCTGGGGATCTGTTCAATCTGATGGCGAGAAGAGGAAGGAAGAATATCTCGCTGGAACTCATATACTAGGCATGTGACCTACTACCTGATTGGCCAAACCAATGCTAGTATCGAATCCGTGCCTGGTACAAGCCAACCCCAGCGGAATATCACGTGCGTACCACGCCTCGATATAATTACATTATGTCGCGCCATGCCATAATGTTCGGATATATATCCAGCCGTGTTTTCATGTAAAATATGTTCTAAAGTGCACTTAAAAGGGGCCAGCTTTGTTGAGATACCACTTAAGAGCTAATTCCCCGGAAGTAGCAATAAGAATCCACTTTGTTGGAATAAATTTGGCCACGATTGTGGCTAGTTTTATCGAACAATTAGCAAAATTCAAACACAGCAGTAAACATTTCCGTATATGATGTCTTGTTCACAAATGGGGCGAGAAAATACCGCCACAAGCGACACTTTGTGGCTGAAGCCCCATTCAAAGAAAAACTAAATAAAGCTCGCTCCTCAGTGGATACCGAACATTAAAGGCTATTATGGAAAGAAGGAGAAAGCTAAGCACCGGCGAGATGCAGTCCATAGTCTGACCATCTCCATTGCGACTAAATACATGTACCTGTAGCTTAGTATTTTAGGGAGAACAACATCCATCGTCGTCTCTGATGCAGCCCTTGACTGACCAACTCAAAAATCAAATTTGAACTGGCTGATTGCCTAAGAAATATCTACGCGGTAATGAACTAATATCTTATACGTAGAAGCAACATGTACCTGTAGCTTTGTATTTTAGGGAGAACAACATCCATCGTCGTCTCTGATGCAGCCCTTGACTGACCAACTCAAAAATCAAACTTGAACTGGCTGATTGCCTAAGAAATATCTACGCGCTAATGAGCTAATATGTTATACGTAGAAGCAAATGACGATGGGCGCCGAGTCGCGGCCCATCGTCCAACCGACTCAACAGGCATGCCACACACCCGTGAGATGCTTTAAAAACTTAAATTAACTATGACGAAAGGCAAAATGATGACAGCACAATAGCAGCCCGTGTCTGAACTACAGTGCCGCAACACCAAACGTTAATTAGCTTGGAGGACCTCCGACCTTAAGTAGACTTTAAAAGCGTCAGAGTTCCAGCGGCCAAGAGCACGGATTTGCGCACCTGAGTAACCCCGATTAGCAGCATGACAAGCGCCGCCAATGCGAAAACTGTGACTTTTGTAGCGACTGGTGTCTAACCCACAAGACGCTAAACAACGCTGTAGTTCCACATTAAATTGGTGAGTTAAAATTGGACTTTGATCAGCATGACAAAAAAGAGGGCCAGGAGAAGATCCCCGCAATTCCCAATATTGAATAAGGGCTACAACGGGGCAAAAGGCAGAAGATACCGCACGGGCAATTAAGATGTCAAACGGACGACGGCTTGTGTTATGATTATACTCAGAAATCGTAATTTTCGCCACCTGCGTAGGACCGTTGCGTGATAAAAAGGTCAGGTTACCGAACTGAAGGACAGAAGACGCAAATCGACAGCTGAATCGATTGCTCTCGGCGGTAAGTCCACCTATGCGAAAGAAGCCATAGAAGGCCAAGAGAAAAAGTGCCGAAAAGAGAGAACGCTGAAATGCCGAAGAATTAGTGAAACTAAGTGCACGAACCAACTCATGTAAAACATCTCTTGTCACCGGAAGACGTATGTCAACTGGCTGTCGACGGCTGAGAGCCGTTAATAGCTTTTGAATTCAAAACGATTTTGTGGGGTCATGGAGCCCTCTTAACTTGTGTACGTAGGAAATGGCTGAAAAATATGAAGTAATCGCTGAAAGAGCCAATTTACGAAATGTGTGATAAGAGATGAATAAGGGGAGGCATTTAGGAGGTACCGGTAAAGGAGGATCATCAAAACCGTAAAATTGGCGATAAAATTGGCGGAAAAAAAATATTACGTAGAATAGAAAGCTTTGTTCAAGTGACACACCAGCGCTGACTCCACACTTTCTCCGTATTATGTCAAGACTTAATGCAGCGATAAAAGCCTGTCATTTTCCGAGACTGTTGTGCAATAGATAGTTAAACACGGGACTACATGCTAACACTATCCCCGGGACACTATCACGACAGGTGAACAAAGTAGAGTTTTTCAAAGTGGACACAAGATTGACTTACAAAGGATCTGGAAGGACAATGCCTCATTATTAAGTTAAGATCTGAATTTGATTAAACATCATAGGGAAAACACGGAAGAATTAAAACAAAGCTGTAGTTTGCATCTGCCAACAATAAGAACAGAAGTAAGGTCAGAAGTGACCAGGAGAATTTTTTATCATGAAAGTCCAGTTTTTAATAATTTTTGTTATAGTACATATCGGAGAGTTTGTTTATTATTTATTTTTTAAACTTTAGTATTTCATTTTCTATGCCTTTCAACATTAAAATATTTAGAATTTAGTATTAGACAAAGGTGTTTAATATTAAATTTTTATATTTAATTTTCTATGCCTTTCAATAACTCAAAGCTTGTGCGCTATGAAAACTTGTAAGGTACACAAAGGCACCAGATAAGGTACACAACTTAAGGTAACTTAAGGTACACATATTTGAAAAGAACTTATAAAAGAAATAAAAAAGGAATTTCATGTTCAGTTTTAATATTAGTTTTTATGCTGTTCAATGAACTTGCAGTCTGAAATGCGGTTCGTGTTTCAAACATTCATCAATTCAAAAACCTGACAAACACTCCTGCTCGTGATTGATTACTAAAGTAGCTTGTGTGTAGCCTGCTGTATGCTGTACTGTAATACTAGATCACATAGTTCACCCACTGGAAAAAACAAACTGTGAATTGAAAAATTAATGGCATACGGAAATCACTACACTGAAGAAAACGTCTATATGATTGAGCCTAGTTTGTGTGACAAAGGCAAGAAAGACTATTACCAACTAATTTGTCATCGCCATTATTGTAAACGGATGCACTTTCACTTATTAAAAACGATTTCACTTGAATAGGTTTGCTGGCAGCCCAACGTTGTATGAGAAAAAGATCGCTGTTTACACAGGGGCACCCAGCGACTTTTTTCTGTAAAATAACTGTTGGAAGGAACAAATATTGTCTAGAAATTTCTAAAGCTTGAGAAAAGCTACAAATTCCTGGATAACCGTTCCATTCGTCTAAAATATTGGGAGGTTTTCTAATAGCTTAACTACGATTTTCGGAGGTTGTATTATTCGCATTTTAATACCAAGATATTGCGATTATTGTTAAAAATGGTCTCCTTAAACGTTCGGTATAACGACAAAATGTCCCCTATAATTTTCCCATGAAAGCAAGGCTGCTTCATCTCCTCAGACTTTCGACTGGACCCATAAGGGTAGCTAACACTTTCGGATGAGACGAAAAAGCCACCTAAAACTTTCGTGACGACGAAAGTTCCCCTAAGACATCCGAACAGATAAATAGTTTTTAGGGCAGCTCCAAACTAACCAAACAGGCTTCTAAAGCATTAGTGAAAACCATCTGAGACACTTTGGCGTATTTGGAAACATTTGGCCGTTGGGTGCCCCTGTTTACAATTGTCTCTTTAATCAAACACCAGCAGCAAAATTTATGAGTTCTTACGATAAGGCGCATCATATCAGTTGTTCCTTTACAATCGCCTGTTGTTTTTAACACTTTTAACCTCAGAGTGAATGATGGAGTCTTCGTAAGGTGGCTCTAAATTTTGAGTATGTGGACGCAATCCAATCGTTAGCTTTCCAACGAAACCTCTTCGTCGTCAATTTTATGTCACGGTACACTTTGTTTTTAAGCCTCTTTGGTATTTTGGGCGGATTTTAACGTCTCCCACTCCTGGGAGTGAAACAAACAATAGTTGAGATCTATGGTGCCGAATAACTTGGAAGTTAGGAATGTTTCGTAAATTCGCGGCCAACAAGGTTAAGTCAGAAAAAAAGTAAAAATTGCAATCGAGTTGTATACAGTACATTAATATGAACAACACTTCATTAACAAACGTATCAAGTAGCCCATGCAAGCCAGGCTCTGAGATCGGAGGGATGTCTCGAAGACAAGGTCAAGGGAAAGTTGGGCGCCCGTGATGTAACGTTTTCTATCATTTTTTTATAGGTCGATTCGCCTACGAATCGTTTCACTACCGTAATAATAATAATAATAATAATAATAATAATAATAATAATAATAATAATAATAATAATAATAATAATAATAATAATAATAATAATAATAATAAAAAACCAAGCACAAACCAAGTACCTTTACAGGCATAATGCAGCTTTGAAGATTCTGTTTTTTGAGCGCCTGCGAGAGCATGGGTTAATGGAAGAGGCTCCACCATGGTACTCACCGGTGATGCCAAAACCAGCCTACCAGAACACCACGAGTGAGGCGTTTTGGGATATTCCCATCTATGCAGAGCACAACGAAGTTAGAGCAAATCGGATCGACGCGCGACTTGTCAGCCACGAGAGGAAAGAAGTCTGCACAATTGAAATGAGCTGCCCATGGATTGAGAGTAGAGCTAAAAAAGACGAGGAAAAGACACTCAAGTATGGGCCCATGATGTGGGAGCTTAAGCAGAGATACAATGGTTACAGGGTTGAACAGTACAACGTAATAATTGACGTACTGGAGGGTTACTCTAAACACCTAGAGAAGTCGGTGAGGAAGCTACTTGGAGCGAGAGCACGGAGTGTACTTGAGCGGATGCAGAAGTCGGTCATCTCAAACACTTTAAACATTGCCAGAACATTTAAGATAAATACTTAGTTAGGGCGCTATGGACTTCAGTTTTTAGGTTTTTGTTTTTTCTCTAGGAATCTAGAAACCCAAGTTTGCTGACTTTTTTACTTAGATTTTTTATAGAACATTAGAGTTTGATATTATTATAAATAAGTTTTTAGTAGAGATAGCGAAGGTTTTACAGAGTATCAGAATTTAATAATAGCGGAGCTCCACGAGCGCGCAAAGCGCGCGCGTGGACGGAGCCCCATAGCTAAGGAAATGTGGTAATCTACCCATCCGAGAAAATTTGGTAATCACGTGACCGTACGACCGTCCGTCCGCACCACAGGGTAACCAATGTTTACTCTCACACTTTCTTGCTAGTTTGGGAGCCCAATAGAAAACTAATTGCACATGAATGTTGTGATGAATTGACAGCTGTCAAAACAGGATATCCGCTGACCAGTATAACCTGACCGTAGCGCGGGCTCAAGTGTCGATCCATCGAGGTCGAGTACTTTTTTGAAGTTATCCGCTGACAAATTACCAGTTTCAAATGATCGCAGGCTCAAGTCTATTTTTTCCAATGATTCATATGAAATATGTTTTGTTTATGTCACTATGGCCCCGCACTGTCAAGATTTTGATTTCAAACTGACCTCGGACGCGAAAATTCAGCCACTTTTTTAAAAATAAAGGCTGGGAAGACCTTTTCTTACCATGGTCACGCGTTGGTCACGTTCTACGTCCAATTTTTGTACTCTGATTGGTCAAAATTTGACAGATGAGTTCATGCGAAAATTTATGCAGCATCTTGAAAGTTGTTTACTTTGACAGCTAAAGCTGACAGAGTTTTGTGTCAACTTGTGATGTTTTTAACTGTCTTTTTCCACTGGATGTACAAAATGAAATACAGCTGCTATCAAGAGTCTTCTGTTATCCATGGCTTGTTTGTTTATTGGGTTTTTGGTTGAGAAATGCGTCGCTTGTCAAAATTGGGTAATCCGATTTCGGATGGCATCGTTTTCGTCTTTCACCTTGCTCAATGCGTAAGAGGGTTTAAAAGTCTCAAGCAACTATGGCCTTCCTTGATATCTTTCAGGAACTGAATCTCGAATGGTAAGCCTGAGTAATTATTGTATTTGATGTTTGTTTTTGTTATATCTAATTTCATGAAGTCGAGCACAGTTTATGCGGCAAGTTTTTGCAAGATTTGGGTCAATGATCTAATCTAGTGTCAGGTTTGATATAACTTTAAAAGGCCTTCAGATATATTTTCTCACGGCAAAATTAATCGAAAAAAAACGTTCCGAAGAATATTTAGTTATAAATTTGGCTGTAGAAAGAAAACTTTGAGTGACTTTCTTACTTCGAGGAGTTCATCTTTGAAAAAAAAAAACAAACACCGGGAGGCCGGCTGAAAGTAAAACAAAATAAACTTAAGCTTAAGCTTTAAGCTTAAACGGCTCAGGATTTTTAGAGACACTTTAATACTTGTCTTCGTGAATGAAAATTGTTGTCTCTGTAAATGTTTTACCGAATTATATTTCTTTTATTGATTGTTAGTAGTCTCTCTTGCAATTTTAATCGCTTGTCCGTGGTGTTTGTTTTTATCGTTCATGAACATCGCTTGCAGGAGTACTTAGAAATGTCGCGCGTATCAAACGCTTTATAAGATTACACATCGTTATAACCGGAACCATTAAATAACAAAAAATAATGATAATAAATTCGTTATTAAGTTGAAGCGTATCTCCATTAAAGTTCATTCTAACACTCGACCACACTGACAGCTCGCACTAAAAATGAGAACCGGCTGGACGTATGGGAAATTTTTTGAACGGTTTCGCTAAAAGCCCACGATTGATCGTCCTGAACATTGAAAAATTGTGAAATGCCGTATTCTGTCCGAGGTCTGTATGATAAAAAGTACTGTTTCACCTCAGATGTGATGTATAAAAAGTATAAAAGGTTGGTTTACACACCTTCAGGCCATTATGGCTCTTGAATGTAATGGAAGATGTTTGCTATTTTTTGGGTGTACATACATGTATATTTAGGCTATCAACTCGATGTAAGATGTTTCACTCTAAAATAACTTATCCTTTCCCTCAAAAGTCACATGAATGTGCCCTTAAGTTAACTGATTTGTGGATTTCAAGTTTATTGTTTGATTTAAAATATAAATTTATTAATGGGAGCTTCGCTTTTAGTCCTGGCTAAATCTATATATTATTCTAAATTGGCTTTTTAAGTAGAAAGATTTATATCACTATGTATAAGCTTTTAGTAGAGATAGCGAAGGTTTTACAGAGTATCAGAATTTAATAATATTCTAAATTGGCTTTTTAAGTAGAGAGATTCATATCACTATGTATTTTAGGATTGTATTAGGTTTCGTATCGACCTTTTTTTACTTCTAGTATAGCTTCTCAAGTGGTGTAGGTTACGCTATGCGCCCTATACTACTCATAATGTGGACAGCATCCCAAAGTTTCATACTGCGACATAATAATAATAATGAACTTTATTAAAGTCTCATGTCTTATAGCTCAGGCACAGTGCCTTACTAATTGGGGAGACTGTTCGCTAACGTCTTGCATCGCTCTGCTTAAGAATCGAAACGAGCGCCGCACATGTATATACCTCGTTCTCTCATCCACGATAAGAAGAAGTGCGACACGCATGTATTTACCTCGTTCATTCAGCCATGGATCAGACGAAAGCAGTTTAAGAACTGACCCAACACGTACGCGAAACGACTTTTAAGTCGTTGGCGAACAGGGCGTTGGCAACGTAAACTACCGTACAGTTATCACAATCTCTGGAAATTACTTTTCCTGGAGCCTGCAACGGGCTAACCAACAAGGAGCTAAGCAAAAAGTCTTTTCTTTAGAAAAAAAATTAAATGTTGAATTAATTACTATTAGAGTTTTGTATGACCCTTATACTCTGAAGAGTTATTCCTTTTGGACCATTGTCAATGTGATGTCTTCTCTTCGAGCATTTAATAAGAAACGAACCACAAAATTCTCTCAGGCCACGCCAGTAGTTTTCGACAAAGACGAAACAGATTATTGGATTCGCCGTGCTTGAAAGGTTGGTCATCAGGAGAGGTAATGGCCTTAGTACTTGGAGTAACAAACATGATCTTTCCAGTACTCTTTCTGACAACAAGACAATAATAATGACAGGGATAAAACATAAATAAAAGGCTGCCACGACGCAAATGGACATTTTCACGGCTTGCCGTTTTCTCTGAACGTTTCCAGTCACAGGTGCAATGGGAAGCGCTTTATTTTTCCTTCGTAGAGTTACCGCTATAGTACAGTATAAAATTGTTACGGATATCAACGAAGCAAAGGAACAGGCGGCTCCAGCATATTGAGAAATTGTAGTTGTTTTCTCTGTGCAGTCAAGTGCACCATTTTTGTGAACGAGTTTAAAATCAATAGAAGAAACAGAGCCGCACAAAACGGCAACGATCCACGTGGAAGAAATGGCCAAAACGCGAAATCTGGAGGAAATCAGATGAACTTTCATTGGAAAGACTACTGCTATAAACCGGTCTAATGCAATCCAAGTTAGGCTTTGTACAGAAACATAGACAGAGGCATACATAACAAAACTCTGGATCTTGCAGACAATTGATCCGACTGGTTCAGCGATCGGCCATTGACCATACGCTGCTTTTGCCAACTCAACTGGAATGAATGTTAACTGAAAGACAAAGTCAGATAATGCCATGTTGGCGATAAGCTGATTTATAGTCTTTCTTAAGTCTTTTCGCTTGTACACCAAGGTGATTATCAGGGCATTTCCAGTCAAGCCAACCAACAAGACCATACAGTAGACAACTATCAAACTTACTTTGAACACATATGGCTCATATAATAGTCTACAATCCAAATCCTTTTCTCTTGATGAGACGTTGCTCAAGTTGCTGGTCGACATAATATAAGAAAAAAAAAACACCTATTGAACGCACGTCTCAAGCGGAAAGGAGAGTGAACTGACCCAAGAAGCTGCCGCAAACTAAATTGACAGTGGAAGCAATTAAAACATCGAGACTGATGATTTCAAATGAATCCAAACAACCGACTAAATACTTGAATTACTTGTCGTGACGGTAATGGATTTTCTTAACTTTTCGTTTTTGATTTCGAACGTTCATCAATTTTTATTAATCTCGAATTGTTGTCTTACTAGGCTCAGAGTCAAAGGGATCTGGAAAACAAATAACTATTCCACCAGTTTTAACAGAAGTTTCAATAGAGATCTTTTCAAGATTTTTGAGATAATCGAACTATTAAATATGGGAACCATAAATAATAAAAACTATGTTTGCGTTAGACACCATGTTAAAATATATGTAATTTAGAAATAGACCAGGCAAAGGAATTAAATATAAAACTTTACTATTTCATTTTCTTTGCCTTTCAACATTAAAATATTTATAATCTAGAATTAGACAAAGGAGTTTCATATTAACTTTTATATCTAATTTACTGTGCCTTTCAATCGACTCACGGTTTGTGCCTTATAAAAACCTTATGTTTACCAGCAATGAAGTGTAAACATATTTGAAAAGAACTCTTTAAATAATAATAAAAAATAATTTCATGTTTAATTTTAATATTTCATTTTTATAGTGTTCAATAAACTTGCAGTTTGAAATGTAGGCTCGATTAGGATCAAAGACCAGACCCGGGTGACGACGGAAATCGAGCCTGTCTGAAAAGCGGTTCTTGTTTCAAACATTCATAAATTCAAAGACCTGACAAATACTCCTGCTTGTGATTAAAAATTGAGTACATCATGTGTAGCCTGTTGTATGCTGTACTGTCACACTGGATCGTATACTTCACCCCGTGAAAAAAAAACAAAAACAAACTGTAAATTGAAAAATTAATGGCACGGAAATCATTAAAACCAGTTGGCAAAACAAAGGCGAGAAAGTCTGGCTAGCCTTTAACAGAAACTAAACTAAATTTTATCTATTTTGTCATTGTCATTTTTTTCAAACGAGTGTACTTTCACTTATTAACAATGATTTCATTTCAATAGGGTCGCTGGGCAGGCAGGAAGTAACGTTTTACGGGAAAATGATGGTTGTATACAAGTGTGAGCATCTGACCTTTAAAATTAAACACGAGAGGCCGGATTTAAAAGTTCCAACGATAAGACGCATCTTATTTATTGTTCCTTTACAATCACCTGTTGTTTTCAACCATTTTAGTCTCAGAGTGATTGATGGAATCTTTGTAAGGTGCCTCTAACTTTAAGTCTGTAGACGAAATGCTATAGCTGTCCAATGAAACCTCTTCGCCGTTAATTTTATGTCATGGTACAATTTGTTTTTCAGCATCTTTGATATTTTAGTCGGATTTTGACTTTTCCCACTCCTGAGAGTGAAAGAAACAATAGTTGAGATCTATGGTGCCGAATTCACGAAACAAGCCTAACTTAAAAGTTAGGAATGCTTCGTAAATTCGGTGCCATAGCATCTTAATAATCTTAAAAAGGTTAAGTCAGATAACTGCCATCAAGTACAATACAGTACATTTATAACAACAATACTTTATAAATACTTTATTAATAGACGTATCAAGTAGCCTAAGCCAGGCTCTCAGATAGTAGTGACGTCGCTAACGCAAGGTCAAGGGAAAATAGGGCGCCAGTGATTTGGCTTTTTTCATGTCAGTTTTGCTGACCGGTCGTTTCGTCAAAGTCTTATGTCGCTTCACTTAAGAGGCCAAACGAGCGCTGCGCACGTATATAGCTCGTTCACTTTAGCATGATAAGAAAAAGTGCGATACGCATGTATGTGCTTCGTTCTTTCGGCTACTGATCTGGCGAAAGCAGTTAGGAAACTCATCTAGTACGTAAGCGAAACGACACTTACATCATCAGCGAACAGGGCGTTGGCAACGTACACGACCGTACAGTTTTCACGATCTCTACACATTACTTCCTTGGAGCCTTTATGCAACAAGCTAATCAATACTGAGGAGCTTCGGAAAACGCTTTTTATTTAGAAAATAAAATAAATGTTTAATTAATTACCATAAGAGTTTTGCAGGACCCTTATACTCTGAAGACTTATTCCTTTTGCACCATAGTCAATGTTTTGTCTTCTCTTCGAGCATTTAATAAGAAACGAACCACAAAATTCTCTCAGGCCACGCCGGTAGTTTTCGACAAAGATGAAACAGATTATTGGATTTGCCGAGCTTGAAAGGTTGATCGTCAGGCCAGTAAATGGCCATAGTACTCTGAGTAACAAACATGATCTTTCCAGTGCTCTTTCTGACAACAAGACAATAATAATGAGAGGGACAAAACATAAATAAAAGGCTGCCACGACGCAAATGGACATTTTCATGGCTTGCCGTTTTCTCTGAACGTTTCCATTCACAGCGGAAGTGGGGAGAGCTTTATTTTTCCTTCGTAGAGTTACCGCTATAGTGCAGTATAAAATTGTTATGGAAATCAACGAAGCAAAGGAACAGGCGGCTCCGACATATTGAGAAATTGGAGTTGTTTTCTCTGTGCAGTCAAGTGCACCATTTTTGTGCACGAGTTTAGAATCAATAGAAGATGCGGACCCGCACAACACGGCAACGATCCACATGGAAGCAATGGCCAAAACGCGAAATCTGGAGGAAATCAGATAGACTTTCATTGGAAAGACTACCGCTATAAACCGGTCTAAAGCAATCCAAGTTAGGCTTTGTATAGAAACACAAACAGAGGCATAAACAACAAAAGTCTGGATCTTGCAGACGATTGATCCAGCCGGTTCAGCGATCGGCCATTGACCATACCCTGCTTTTGCCAACTCAACTGGAATGAATGTTAACTGAAAGACAAAGTCAGAAAATGCCATGTTGGCGATAAGCTGATTTATAGTCTTTCTTAAGTCTTTCCGCTTGTACACCAAGGTGATTATAAGGGCGTTTCCAGTCAAGCCAACCAACAAGACCATACAGTAGACAACTATCAAACTTATTTTAAACACATATGGCTCATATAATACTCGACAATCCAAATCCTTTTCGCTTGATGAGAGGTTGCTCAAGTTGCTGGTCGACATAATATCAGAAAAAAAGAAACACCGATTTAATGTACGTCTCAAGCAGTAAGGAGAGTGAACTCATCCAAGAAGATGGCGCAAACTAAATAGACAGCGGAAGCAATTAAAACATCGAGACTGATGATTTTAAATTAATCCAAGCAAGTGACTAAAGGCTTGAATTAATTGTCGTGACGGTTGGATTTTCTTAACTTTTCGTTTTTGATCTCGAACGGGAAACGATTTTTATTAATCTCGAATTGTGGTGTCTCACTAGGCTCAGAGTCAAAAGGATCTAGAAAACAAATAATTGTTCCACCTGTTTAAACAGAAGTTTCAATAGAGATCTTTTCAAGATTTTTGAGATAATCGAACTATTAAATATGGGAACCATAAATAGTAAAAAATATATTTGCGTTAGACACCATGTTAAAAATAGAGATAATTTAGAAATAGACCGGGCAATGGAATTAAATATAAAACTTTAGTATTTCCTTTTCTTTGCCTTTCAACATTAAAATATTTATGATTTAGAATTAGACAAAGTAGTTTAATATTAAATTTTTATATCTAATTTTCTATGCCTTTCAATCGACTCACATTTTGGGCCTTATGAAAACTTGATGTTGATCAGCAATGAAGTGTAAACATATTTGAAAAGAACTCTTTAAATAATAATAAAAAAGAATTTCATGTTTTATTTTAATATTTAACTTTTATAGTGTTCAATAAACTTGCAGTCTGAAATGTAGGCTCGATAATGATCAAAGACCGGACCCGGGAGACGGCAGAAATCGAGCCTGTCTGAAATGCAGTTCGTGTTTCAAACATTCATAAATTCAAAGACCTGAGTAATACTCCTGCTTGTGATTAAAAGTTAAGATCATGTGAGGCCTGTTGTATGCTGTACTGTCACACTGGATCGTATACTTCACCCCGTGGAAAAAAAAACAAAAACAAACTGTAAATTGAAAAATTAATGGCACGAAAATCATTAAAACCAGTTCGCAGAACAAGGGCAAGAAACACTAGCTAGCCTATTACAGAAACTAAACTAAATTTTATCTATTTTGTCATCGTCATTTTCGCAAACGAGTGCACTTTCACTTATTAACAATGATTTAATTTCAATAGGGTCGCTGGGCTGGCAGGGCGTAACGTTTTACGGGAAAAAGATTGTTGTATACAAGTGTGAGCATCTGACTTTTAAAATTAAACACCAGACGCCAGATTTAAAAGTTCCAACGATAAGACGCATCTTTTGTATTGTTCCGTTACAATCGCCTGTTGTTTTCAACCCTTTTAGTCTCAGAGTGATTGATGAAATCTTTGTAAGGTGCCTCTAACTTTGAGTCTGTGGACGAAATCCTATAGTTAGCTATCCAATGAAACCTCTTCGCCGTTAATTTTTTGTCTAGGAACAATTTGTTTTTCAGCATCTTTGATATTTTAGTCGGATTTTGTCTTTTCCCACTCCTGGGACTGAAGGAAACAATAGTTGAGATCTATGGTGCCGAATTTACGAAACATTCCTAACTTAAAAGTTAGGAGTGCTTCATAAATTCGGGGCCATAGCATCTAAATAATCTTAACACTTGGTTAAGTCAGATAACTACCATCAAGTACAATACGGTACATTTACATGAACAATACTTTATAAATACTTTATTAATAGACGTATCAAGTAGCCTAAGCCAGGCTCTCAGATCGTAGTGACGTCGCTAAGGAAAGTTCAAAGGAAAATAGGGCGCCAGTGATTTGGCTTTTTTCATGTCAGTTTTGCTGACCGGTCGTTTCGCCGAAGTCTTATGTCGCTTCACTTAAGAGGCGAAGCGAGCGGTGCGCATGTATATAGCTCGTTCTCTTAGGAATGATAAGAAAAGGTGCGATACGCACGTATATGCTTCGTCCTTTCGGCTACGGATCTGGCGAAAGCAGATAGCAAACTCATCTAATACGTAAGCGAAACGACACTTAAGTCATTAGGGAACAGGGCGTTGGCAACGTACATGACCGTACAGTTTTCACGATCTCTACACATTACTTTCTTGGAGCCTTTATGCAACAGGCTAGTCAATACTGAGGAGCTTCGGAAAAGGCTTTTTATTTCAAAAAATAAAATAAATGTGAAATTAATTACTATAAGAGTTTTGTAGGACCCTTCTAACCCTCTGAAGAGTTATTCCTTTTGGACTATTGTCAATGTTTTGTCTTCTCTTCGAGCATTTAATAAGAAACGAACCACAAAATTCTCTCAGGCCACGCCGGTAGTTTTCGACAAAGATGAAACAGATTATTGGATTTGCTGAGCTTGATAGGTTGATCGTCAAGCCGGTAAATGGCCATAGTACTCTGAGTAACAAACATGATCTTTTCAGTACTTTTCCTGACAACAAGGCAATAATAATGACAGGGATAAAACATAAATAAAAGGCTGCCACGACGCAAATAGACATTTTCACGGCTTGCCGTTTTCTCTGAACGTTTCCATTCACAACTGAAGTCGGAAGCGCTTTATTTTTCCTTCGTAGAGTTACCGCTATAGTACAGTATAAAATTGTTATGGAAATCAACGAAGCAAAGGAACCGGCGGCTCCAGCATATTGAGAAATTGCAGTTGTTTTCTCTGTACATTCAAGTGCACCATTTTTGTGCACGACTTTAGAATCAAAAGAAGATGCGGAGCCGCACAAAAGGGCAACGATCCATGTGGAAGCAATGGCCAAAACGCGAAATCTGGAGGAAATGAGATGGACTTTCATTGGAAAGACTACCGCTATAAACCGGTCTAATGCAATCCAAGTTAGGCTTTGTACAGAAACATAGACTGAGACATGAACAACAAAACTCTGGATCTTGCAGAAGATTGATCCGGCTGGTTCAGCGATCGGCCATTGACCATACGCTGCTTTCGCCAACTCAACTGGAATGGATGTCAACTGAAAGACAAAGTCAGAAAATGCCATGTTGGCGATAAGCTGATTTATCGTCTTTCTTAAGTCTTTCCGCTTGTACACCAAAGTGATTATAAGGGCGTTTCCAGTCAAGCCAACCAACAAGACCATACAGTAGACAACTATCAAACTTATTTTGAACACATATGACTCATATAATGCTCCACAATCCAAATCCTTTTCGCTTGATGAGAAGTTGCTCAAGTTGCTGGTCGACATAATATCAGAAAACAAGAACCACCGATGCAATGCACCTCTCTAGCAGAAAGGAGAGTGTACTGAGCGAAGATGATGTCGCAAACTAAATCGACAGCGGGAGCATTTGGAACATGGAGACTGATTTCAGGTGAATCCAAGCAATCGACTAAATTAATACTGAAGCGAGATGGGAACTGAAGCCGAAGTGCAGAATAGGCAAATGATTTAGACTGACTTTCGCAGAGACTTTTGTAGCCACTAAACGCAGCGTTTCTCTAAACTTGATGAAATTTATATTTACATTTTACACCAATTGTTTTTACTTCTATTTGATAATCATCGGCAATGTCTCGTCGCCTAAGAGTAGCAGTGAGTTGTAATGCAACTGGCTCCTCCCCGCCAATAGTTTATGCGCACCCTAACTGCGCACGTAACCAGGTCGCGTCACTGAGATCAAACGTCTGGGGCATTTTCTTGAGTGCGTCCTTAGTGCGGTTCCATTTGCTAACTGAGGTAGACAGGCGAACAATGCTGAACGCCCGAACAACATGGCGAAAAAGAAAAAGTGAATACAGACATTTTTGGCCAATTTCTTTCAGTTTGCCACACCGAGATCTAGACCACTTGAATGGCGATTTCACATCGACAACAACAGATAATCGGCAAAACTTTATGCTTCGAACTGGTGAGATATTTTTTCTATCCTGATTTACTGTCACATTTGCTCTATAATTCGTTTTACATACAATAACAAACAAAACCATATAAAAAGGACAAATAAATCATACACCAAACTCACGACATGCGGAGGAAAAAAACGGAAAAGAACCTTTTATTTGCCCAAGGTTAGTGCTAAAGGCAATCTAATAAAAAACTTCAATACTGTAGATATTAAAGACATTTAAAAAAGACAGGCTAAAAATGTTACATTCTGTCTCTTGTGACGAGATGTTGGTGGATTTGGAATCGAAGTTGGAAGGTCCCGATGAATTCGTTGCAGAAAACATGCCCTTGCCTGCTAATTTTGCAGCAAAAAAGTACGTTTTTGGTTAGTTCACAGAAAAAATTACGTAGAATAGAAACCTTTGTTCAAGTGACACACCAGCGCTGACTCCACACTTTCTCCGTATTATGTCAAGAGTTAACGCCGCGATAAAAGCCTGTCATTTTCCGAAACTATTGTGTAATAGATAATTAAACACGGGACTACATGCTAACACTATAGTAAATATCACTACAGGTGAACAAAGTAGAATTTTTCCAAGTGGACACAAGATTGACTTACAAAGGATCTGGAAGGACAATGCCTCATTATTAAGTCAAGATCTGAATTATTTAATTAAACATCACAGGGAAAACACAGAAGAATTAAAACACGGCTACCGTTTGCATCTGCCAACAATTAGAGCAGAAGTAAGGACAGAAGTAACCAGGAAAATCTTTTATTCTCATGAAAGTACAGTTTTTAATCATTTTTGTTATAGTACATAACGAAGAGTTTGTACATTATTTATTTATTAAACTTTAGTATTTCATTTTCTATGCCTTTTAACATTAAAATATTTAGAACTTAGAAACAGACAAAGGTGTTTAATATCTAATTTTTATATTTAGTTTACATATTTAAAAAGAACTTAAGTTTTTATGCTGTTCAATAAACTTGCAGTCTGAAATGCGGTTCGTGTTTCAAACATTTATCAATTCAAAAACCTGACAAACACTCCTGCTCGTGATTGATGACTAAAGTACCTCGTGTGTAGCCTGCTGTATGCTGTACTGTCATACTGGATCATATAGTTCACCCCGTGGAAAAAACAAACTATGAATTGAAAAATTAATGGCATACGGAAATCACTACAACGAAGAAAACGTGAATGGCAAATGCGAGATCAATCATAAACCAAGGCCTTGTAGCCATTACACAAACTTTGCTCACCGTGTTACTCTTTCTTTAAAGTCCTTGACACGTTTTAAGACTATCGACATTTCTTTCGCAGCTTGCTCTAACAAGAAAAAAGTGTTTACGGACGTTGGCTGAACAGAGCCACTAATGCAACCAGCGCACAAGTACTTTTCTACTTTCTTGAATATATATATGCAGTGGAAGCTCTAGTAAGCGGATACCCTCGGGACGCAAAAAAAGTTTCCGTAATTGGAGCTGGCCGCTCACAAGAATGTAAAAATACAGAGTTTGTATGGGAGTTAAAAAGAAAAAAACAAAAACAAAAAAGACAATGTTTTGTGAAGGCTTAATCTAGAGGAACGTTAAGCTGATCTTTTCCATCAATTTTCTTTTTAGGCTTCAAACACAGAGTTAGTTCACTTATCCTGATTTACTGTCACATTTGCTCTATATTTCGTTTTACATACAATAACAAACAAAACCATATAAAGGGACAAATTAATCGTACACCAAGATCACGACATGCAGAGGAAAAAAAAACGGAAAAGAACTTTTATGATAAGCCAGTTTGCCCAAGGTTAGTGCTAAAGGCAATCTAATAAAAAAAACTTCCATACTGTGGATATTTAAGACATTTAATACATTAAAGACATTTAAGTCAGAAGTCTTGCAGAGACGACTGTTATTCCCACAAAAGAAATTGAAAACAATGCGCTCGCAAAATGTTGGAGGAAAACACTGTGGCTATTATGGAAATGCAAAAATGGCGAATGGTGTTCAGTTTTAACATAAATGAGGGTGTTTCTAGACTTACTTCTCTCTATGCGGTTCCGTTTACATGCACATTGTATTTTACATAGGTTATATTTACTATACATAGCTTCCAGATAGATGAACACTAAGGCTAAACTTCTGTTGATTAAACTAAGGCTAAACGTCATTATTGTTCATTATTTTTGTAATTTTTTTTATCACTTAAGTTTCTCTCCTATCGAATGCACCAATAATTCAAAACCGTTCAAGTCTTATCTCCTGTTGGTTGCTCTTTCTTCTCTCTTCCACTTTCAGATTTTTGCTGTAATAGCATGGGAGGATCTCGGTTAGGCCTCGACGAAAGCTCTGAACAAATGCAATGCAAATGATCGGATTGACAGTTGAAGACGTGTAAAGAGCCAACTGAACAAGTAACCAGATGTTTTGGAGCACAGAACAAGATTTGAAAACTTTTCGATCGGGTAATAAGTTGGCCACTATTGTCAAAGGAAGAATGAGAAAGTAAAAAGACAGCATCACACAAAAGCTCATTTTTATAGCTTGGCGTTTTCTTTGATTGCTTTGATTGCCGCACTGAAGAGCTCTGTCATGTTTTCGCAAAGTTATTGCTATAGCACAATAAGAAATCGCTATGATAATCAGAGGTACGGTGAAAAGAAAAGTAGTTCGTCCTCTTCCAAAGTCTACATAAAAAGTGGAAGTATTTTTATAGGCGCAAACAGGCATATAAAATTCAACAGAGTTTAGAAACACCGCGATGAACCAGGTGAAAGTTATGGCAGCGGTGCGAACTCTTGCTGTGATGAGATGGCCTTTCAACGGAAACACAACCGCCACAAACCGATCCATAGAAATGCAGACAAGGCTTTCTATAGAAACAGTTAACGAAACACCCTGAAAAAAAGAAACGAGGTGACAAGAGATCAGCTCTGTAGTGCTTGCTATAACCAATCGTGACGACCGGACTAACGAAGTGGATGATAAAGTCGCTGCTATACCCGTTAGTGGATAGAATAGGTCGGAAACCGCCATATTGACAATGAAGAAATTTGTAGTCTTCCGCAATTCTTTTCGCTTATAAACCATGAGAATAATGAAGGTGTTTCCAATCAAGCTGGACAATGATAAAATGGAGACGATCAGAATTTTGATGACTTCTACTGGAAAAGACAGCTCAAAAATGTTACATTCTGTCTCTTGTGACGAGATGTTGGAAGTTCCCGATAAATTCGGTGCAGAAAGCATGCCCTTGCCTGCTAGTTTTGCACTTAGAAAGTACGTTTGTGGTAGAATATAGAAACCTTTGTTCAAGTGACACACCAGCCCTGACTCCACACTTTCTCCCTATTATGTCAAGAGTCAACGACGCGATAAAAGCCTTTCAGTTTCCGAGACTATTGTGTAATACATAATTAAACATGGGACTACATGCTAACACTATCACTACAGGTGAACAAAGTAGAGTTTTTCCAAGTGGACACAAGATTGACTTACAAAGGATCTGGAAGGACAATGCCTCATTATTAAGTCAAGATCTGAATTTGATTAAACATTATAGGGGAAAACACGAAAGAATTAAAATAACGTTATCGTTTGCATGCGCCAACAATAAGAACAGAAACAAGGAGAGAAGTAGCCAGGAGAATTTTTTATTATCATGAAAGTACAGTTTTTAATAATTTTTGTAAAAGTACATAACGGAGAGATTGTTTATTACCTTGGAAGTTCGGTTATTAATAATTATTGTAAATGTACATTTTGTTATCTATTGTTTTTCATTACTGCATATGTTATTACTTATTTAGTAACCTCAAGGCTCCTATTAATGGCAGGGATTTTTTATAACCTCCCTGAGGGGACTACCCCGAGTAATTTGGTGTACACTTTTATTATAAATATGTAGAGAGCTCTAGTTTTGAGGACGAAAACGAGTACGAATACGACATTTAACTTACGTTTTTGCGCGTGTTCCAAAAAAAAAGACAACCTCGGAAAGCTTCATTTTACTCAGTTTTTTTTTTGCCAAAAAGTCAGTAGTTTTATTTATACTGAAGGAGGTTAAGCCCTCTCCCAATAGCAAAATGATGAAACTTCCTGCAGTTGATAACTCGTTTCCACCACTACGACATTCGCGCTAAAACACGTAGTAGAATGATGACGGCTATTTCTACATCACTTTTAACTACGATTTACAGACAAAAATCGCCCTCTTTAGGTCTGAATGAGTTTATAAGATCTTTCAAGAATTAAAACCAACTGTCAGAAAAGATTGTCGTTCCCTTCGTTTTCCCGCCTAAATCAGTGCAATTTTCTTGATTAAATACTGGAAGAAATGGCCCTAAATACCTGAGAAAATGATTATTTGAAAATGAATTGCATGACAACTACCAGAAAAAAAACTTAATTGGTCTTAACTGTACTAAAAAGGATTGACTCTCTTTCGTTTTGTCTTCCCCTTACTGCAATGTGCACTTGTTTTGAAAGATTTTCTCTTCCGTCTCAGCATCTCACTCTTATGCTTTGAAGGGATACTTCCCCTCGATCACCTGTTCCCATTTTCCAACGTCTTGCTGACTTTTTAATATGACAGATACTGAGCAACTCTCTTAAACCGAGGCGGTAGTTTTCGACAAATATGAAACAAATGATTGGATTTGTTATCGAAGAAAAGCAGGTCGTAGCTGAAGCAAATATCATTATCGAAGAATACAACAAACAGGAAATTTCAACCAGTGTTTTATGAAAAAAGACGACTATCAAGTTCGGGATAAAAAGCAAATAAAACGCAGCCATGACACAGACGCTCATTTTCAAAGCCTGCCGTTTCTTTTGGATGTTCTTAATCACTATTGCCGAGATAGCCAGGGCTTTATCTTGCCTACGTAGAGTTAATGCTATAGCGGTGTACAAAATTGTCATTAGCAAAAGCGGTGCAATATAAAGTACGACTAATTGAACATATCCGTACGTTGGGTAGAAAGACGAATGAGGTTTTTCCATGCATACTATTTTACCATTTACCTCCATCGCTTCAACCGTGTACAAATGAACAGAGCAAATTAATACAGCAACAATCCAAGTGGACGTCACAGCAAAGCGGCGAAACCTTGTGGAGATGCGATGAACTTTGATTGGAAAGACCACTGCAATGAACCGATCCACGGCGATCCAAACAAGACTCTCTACCGAAACAGTCAATGAAACACCACCTAAGAAAATCTGCAGTTTACAAACAATTGATCCTGCAGAAACACTGACAGGCAATGTTTCTAGTCCGATGATGCTAAGCGGAATTGGTGTTAACGGAAAGATGAGATCGGAAATCGCCATATTGGCAATAAAGTAATTTGTAGTCTTCTTTAAATCTTTTCGCCGGTAGAATATGATGATAATAACAGTGTTTCCGATCAAGCTGGATAACAGAATA